ATTAGGTTGCAGGAGAAGATGAGAGCTTCATTGAAAAGGGCTAACACTAAAAACACTGACTGAGGTAGATGTGTGATGTCTCCTGAGATGTGGTATTCCTTACCTTGAGCACTATAATTATTTCACACTGTATCTTCATTATTTCTTTGGACTTTACACTGGTTAAGAATAACGTGTTTCCCCGAAAATAAGACACTGTCTTATTTTCATGAAAAAAAGACACTAGGTCTTATTTTCGGGGGATGTCTTACCTGGCTGCAGCTGTCGAGCTCTCCGCTCTGATGCAAACAGGTGAAAACACGGTATATATATATATATATATGTTTTGATTGTAGCTGGGCACTATATTGTTCTATTGAGTTTTAGGCATGATGATCGTTCCACTTATGGACAATGAATACGCATGGATAGTTGAAATAATCTAATGTGGCTGACAGGAGACACAGGAAGTTGTAAATGTTGAGGAGGCTATAGTGCAGCCATCTTCCTGGCTCTGCAGTGTGGCAGAAGTGTGAGCAAAACTGCAAATTCTTCAATAAGCAAAACAGTTTACATACAGTATATGTATTTCAGTTGTCTTGATGTATTCTTTAAAGAGACTCGTCAATTCCAATTCAGAGCAAAGTGTCAGAGTCTCTTAATAGCCCACCCCACACAATTACACTTACCTTCACTGCGCTGTTCTACCATTCTAGTAGTAAAACCCTGTGTAAGCTCCATGTCTGATGGTTTTGGAAATTACACAAGGTTGATGACTTCATCCTTCTCACTTGAAAGTGTCCAGGCCTGACCATTACCCATGAAGCTGAGCACTAGCAGGTATTTTGCTTTGGCTCTGATTAAGCAACAGGGAAGGGGGGAGGGGGGGGGGTAAATGAGTGTAAAGGATCAGGGCAAAGCCTAGTGAGGAATCTTATCACTTTGCCCTTATTGGGCAAAAAAAGACAATCTCTTTCAGGTAATGGCATAGTTACCCACAATGGGCCCCACCAATCAGTGAGTCCCTAAACAGACAGACTTACCAGCTGGTGAAATTTATAGCTGGCATCTAAACACTTGATTGGTTGCCATACACTGCAAATACACTTTAATAAATAAGGTCCCAGGCCATTTGTGCCAAAGGAAAGGTACAAGAGATAGTGGACGTAATATAAAGTAATAGACATAAATATAAATGTTGGTTTGTCACGTAGCACTGTAAAATAAATTTTGCTCAATGTCTGTAAAGAAATGCCAATATCTTTCTGGTATTCTAAAAGTCAAACAACACAAGATTTTCTTTCTATTCAAATATTTTTTGTCCTTTTTAATTTTACATACATTTTGCATCCTCTAATAAGACACGATACAAAAGAATTCTGTATAACTTAGACAACATAATCAATAGACACCGAAAAAATAAAAACGAGAACTCCGCAAGATCCACCTTGGGAACAAAGGTGGCACAGAGTGGTGATCGGAAATAAGATACACACTACTCAACTGGGCAGGATCTGGCTCCACATCCGGTCAGGACATAAAAAACAAATTAAATAAACGTGCCCCCGTCCAAAGTTCATAGGGTGGATGTCTTGAAGCTGGACTCTCTGCCGGAGGAAGATGGCAACACACCATACCCATCTCCCAAGTCTTCTAAATGTCAGGACACACATTCCCTTTTACTGTAGTACTCGCACACTCCATTCAGAAAAAAACGTTAGCACTCAGGCTCCATGGCGATAGGCATCTCTGTGCCACAATTTGGAAGCGCTGGTTAGACTGGAAAGGGCTGTAGGCAAACAATTGTTCGATACATAGAGATGTAAGATCATTCTTTTTTTTTCCTGTAGTGTAGAATTTCTCCTTGGAGAACATATCTGGAAATGTCCCATTCTGAGCCAGATACCCCATCATAATGTCAATGGTGGAGATGTTTCTTGAAGAGAGATCTGTAGTTCCTAGGATGCCATGCTTTGTATGGCTATTTGGGCCCTCATCTTCTGAAGACCGGTTTCTCTAGATTATTCATCACTGATATGTCCCAGCATGCTTCGTACAATATGTTCCTTCACTGTTCATGGGAATGGTCTAGAATGAGATATTCGGGAGGCAATCCTTACTCTTGAGATGCCACTTTCCGATGGCATGAGTTCTTTAAAAAAATTCCCCCGCATAAAAGTGCTAAGTACAGCTGAATAAAGCTGAAATACAGTAGGGGGGAGAGAGGTGTGGAGATTTTGTAATAGACTGTGTAGTGTGAATAAATCCTTCCACTGACCCCTATTTCTTGCTTCACGTTCTGCACCCATATCGCGGAAGAACCCCAGACCGCAAATTCTAGCATGTCACTTGCCTCCTACTGATGTAATAATTAACTATTTAGGGATTTCATCATATTTATAATTAACTATTTAGGGATTTCATCATATTTATATACTTATCAGATCAGACAGTTTTATTCTGGAAATGTATGTTAGCCTAAAGGCTCTTACTGTGTATCCTCATTTGGCTCTTTGTGCCATTTTTCTCAAGTGGCCCTCAAAGTATAGCTAAAGCCATATTTTAAAATTCTGAATAGGGTAAGAGAGGGTTAAAACCCCTGTGTCTCATTAGGGAGATTTGCTTCACTTCCTGTCCCATAGCCACAACAGGAAGCAAGAGGATATCTTTTCAATGTGAAGGAAATCCCCTCTTAGGCAGCTATCATGGGAACAACTGTCCCCATTAGAAGATTTCCCCTCTATTCTTGTTCTGGTTTCATTTTACTTTCTTTGCCGGTTACATTGGTGATCAGGGTCAATCTCTCTAATGAGGCCACAAACAGCAATAGAAAGGGTCTAACCCTTCACCACTCCAAATCTAAAATAAAAAAAGTTTTGCCTTTAGTTATACTTTAAAATCAGATATCCCAGATGCCTGCACGTCACTTTTGCTCTTCAGTAGAGTGTCAATGGGACTTCCGAAATCTATGGTGTTATGTGATGAAATTACCAACCATGGTTGCTGGCCACTGTTTCGGGATCTGATGCCTGCCGCATTTACTCTTCATTATTGGCAAGTAAACCTGCCTATGAACATGATAGGCCAACCCTAAAGGACAGCATGGTCAGGGCTAGCCCCAGTTACCAGGAAGCTTGGTCAGTAATTGTTTTATAGAGAGAACCAGATTTTGGGGTCCAGGACACTCTTGCGGGGGAGCAGAGGTGTCAGCATTGCCTGTTGTTTACAGTGAGTACCATTTTAGATTTTGTTCACCCCAACAGGTTTGCTTGAGACTTTCTATGTATTTGTCTAATGATATGTAGTATTTTATGTGTTCAATATATCTGAAAAAAAATCTAATTTTGGGAAGAATGTAGTGTTATAAGAATAGAATAAGCCAAAATATAGCCCAACACTGAGATCAGTTACTGTCTACAAACCGACTTATTATACGAAGCCATCTGCAGACTACCCTACAACCATATAAGCCTTTCTTTTATAGGGGTCCTAAACTGCACACTGGCAGGCATTTCAATAAGGCAGTGCAAGGAGTAATAAGGATGTACAAAGTAGATTAGGCCGTAGGAACCAATCCTCAATCTATTAACTAATGTCACTGTACAAAACTGAAATCTGATTGGATGCTTTAAGTTACTGTACTTTGTAGGTCATCATTGCTCGTCACACCGTCCTACTAAACATGTCCATCAGAAAAGTACAGGAAGCTGGTGGTTGGTTGCTGAGTGCCTTTATTCCCCCTCCACTAGAGCAGAGGAGCCCAACCCTGTGTATAGAGTTCCAAAAGACAGTGTACAGTCCTAAATAATGCCAACTGTCTGCTCCCAGGAGAATGGAATAAATATCTGATGATCTGGGGCACCCAAACTTTGTGCATTTCAGGCTTTAAAAAAAAGGATGCAAAAACTGAAGAGCCAAAAGAATTATGGTATAATGGTACATGAGCTGTTCTTCATATTCCTATTATTATTGCATTTAAGGAAATGTAAATCTTTAAAGGAAAACTAAAATGTAATATATTGCAGCTTACCATTCCTTAGTTGTGGTGGCTGCTTTAGCTTTCATTTTTCAGATGAAGAACATTTCCAGCAAGTATAGAAAATAGCTGTTGATCTTGCCAAAAATGTTGTGTGTCTGCCACTTCCTGTGAGCTGAGCCAGCAGCAAAATCAATATTATCTTTCTTATGCAAACTACTACTCCCCAGCCCCCATGTAACAGAGATGAACAAAGACAGACATGAACGAAGTCCAGCCTGAGCGCCAACCATGGCTTCCTCCACAGATACGGCAGAGGAGTGAGTGTAAACCCCCAGGAAGGATGTCATCTCAGGATTACCAGAGACAATAAAGGAGAAAAGAATCTAATGCAGCCACCTCATCTAAGGACTAATAAGCTGCAATATATTACATTTTTGTTCTTAGTCACACTTTAATTGCTCTTTTCTAACTTCAGTACTAACTGGACACTGTATGATTTTCTGCGTTACACACAGGTCTGAATTTAGGTACACCTACTACAGGTAAGAGGTCTCCCTTGCATATTTAATAACAGTAATGAAGCTGTAATAGTTTGGAATTTTGCTTTGCTATCTGTATTAAGCCTGAAATGTCACACAATATGTGTTGGTCACAGATTGGGAATGCATATTGAGAACTCCCTATAGGTGCTTATGCACAAGAGTCCTAAATTAGCTGAAATTATACTGCTATAGAGCACAATTGCTGCTTTGTCAGAAACCATTATTACAGCTCTACAAGAGCCGGCAGCTAAAGGTTCCTTTCACTTGGAAATGGTTGAAGACAGCGAGTCAGGGGCCTCACCTCCCATTCCTAAACTACATTTCCCATTATTCTATGTTCAGCACCATATGTTCCATTCAGTCTAAGAGATCTGATGGCTTTTGATTTGCCGTAAAACAATGAAGTAGCTAGTAAATCTTGAATAGTCTACTCAGGTGCAGAATCACATTGAAATTCCTATGTACTGAACATTAAATTTACAGTTACTCCGACCTGTTATTTGATATGTTTTATGAATGTCAAAATGAACATTTTTAACTTGTGGATGAAAATACTAAGAATGATATATTGATAAACCTTGTTAGCAAGGGATGTGTACCAGTAATAAATATTTAATCAGGTCCATCCCTAAGCATATTTACATAACTCAGGCCAAAGCGTGTAGTGCATTACTTCTATAGGACCCTATTACGTGAAATGCTCAGTCTATCGGAAAATCTGTTGAGCGCATGGTGAAGAGTCCCCTTTTTAGGGCTATACCCACCAACAGTCACATGTTATACAAATTCAATAAGACAGTGTTCTGTACAATACTATGTGCAGTGTGCATTGCACATGGATATACACAGCTCTGTACATGCATATACACCCAGCCCTTATCTAGATGCCCTGATCTTTAGAGCAGGCATTCCGTATACAGAGCTCTCCCTGAAAAATATGTTCCCTCTCCCTTAGTGCAGTAACTAATCCTAATTAGTGTCTCTTATGTAAGCCTTTAAGGAAAAAAAATAAATGCACTCAACCATATAACCACCTCAATTATCGTGATTTTTTTTTTCTTATCTCTTGCATATCAGCTAGTTGAAATGACCCAGATGCACAGTTGTAAGGGGGTGGAGGGTACAATGAGCAGTGTGTGTATGCATTACAGGAATGGAGCCAAGTGACAGAGGTGACTCAGGTGCCTGGCAATAGTTTCATAAAATAAATAATTTCTGTAAATTAAAAAAAAAAAATGTATATATATATTTATATATATATATATAAAATCTCACAATGCATGATGCAGCAAACAGTTGGTCTAACCTCACCCTGAAAAATGCATTTACGGAATCATTTTTTTTTTTGTTCCTATATTTTTTGGGGGGTTACATTTAGAGGAACATACGCTTTAAAGCGCAGCAAGATTATGACAAGGAGTCTGAAGATGGGGCCTAGAATGTCTCTCCTAATATGATTCTTGTAAGAATATTGCAATCACATCCCTGTAATCAGCGGAGCGTGGAGAGAGCTTCCTCCTCCGCTAATATGCTCCCTTCTACATGATGAGTAATCATGTCCTATTAAACAGCGGTACAGGCTGAGGGAACTCAACTATACAAGTGTAATGAAGCCAGCATTCTCTGAGGACAGATTAGCTCCAAGTGATTTGACACATAGCATCATTGGAGCCTCAAACCTGACAAACTCAGTGCCTGCGTGTGATTTATGTGGAGCAGTGCTTGTCAGATGAGAGCAGAGCCTAAGTGTTCTGCTGGGGTAGAGGTGAAATGTGCACATAACTGACAGCTCTCTACCTCCCTTCTTTTTTTTTTATTATTCCTGCCTCCCAAAATGCCAGTGAAAGCTCATTCTCTTCTCCCCCTTGTTCTGCACTCAGTGCTTTTACACCTCCCATGTCATTCCTGACTCCTCCCCTTGCGGTGCGAGGAGTGAGCGGTGCTCGAGTCTGTCTCCTTTCCGTATGATTTTTTTTTGTTAGATTAGGGTGGGCATGAGGCCTCCACCTCCCGCATTGCTGTTGTTGTTGCGGTTGGTTTTTCGGGAGAGGTTTGGCGTGGCCATAAGCACAAACTGTTCATCGGGGCAGCCATATTGCATTAGGAGCTCTCGCACCTCAGGGGTGACAGCTTGCTTGGCATACGCTAACGCTGTGTTCCCATGGATGTCCCGCGCCATCACATCCACACCGTACTGGGGGGAAAGAACAAAACAAACATTTTTTTTTAAATGTATACATGAAACAAGGTTATTAATGCTATGAACTATGAATGCACAATGTATGCGTCTTACTAGTACACAATGAAAGCGTTTCGCCTATCGTATACAAATATCTTGACTGTATATATTACCTTGTTAAGCTGCATAATTTGGTTCTAACTATGGTTTTGCTCACTTTTTTAAGGCAAGTAAGTTTATGCACAGAAGAAAAAACCCGAAACTGGCCGAATAAACAGCCTACTTTAGACCCTTCCTGAGAACTATGTAGCAGAAGGTCCTGCCTGATTGGATACATATTGAATGGACTGTTAATGTAGGCCCTTACATTACACAATTTTGGTAAATCTTAAGCTCAGCACACGTTACAATCTGATTCTCAATCTCCTTTAGATCTAGGGCAAGGCTCTACCTGGTTGGATACAAATTGATTCGTATGTCCTCATATTACATAGTTTTGGTAGATTTAAAAGTTGATTGTATGGTGACATTGTAATGTGTATCTTGAGCCCTAAGGAGATTCTACAAGCTGACTGCAATGTTTATGGCCAACTTGACTGATCCATAATCTGATCAGTTCGAAATTGAGACGGTATATGTGGCAAATAGTGGACATTATTTGATCACTTTCAATGGATTTTCTTGAGGCTGAATTGTAAAGGAAACATTCGAGTTGGGAACTATCTGATTTTATTTGATGGGGTTTCAGCCTGTGTAATACATCAGCCATTTCTTTTTAATAGCATCCCACGTGGCATGAATAAATACAAAATGACTGAATGAATATTTATCAAAAACAGTCAAAGCCAAGACTGTTTTTGCATCAAACTGGAAAAAATGACAAACACAGCCAGTCAATAGGAAATCCTTACAACACCATCAAAAATAAAAACATAAAAAGCATGGTTGATTTGTGCTTGGCCAGCTTTAGAGAATAGTCATCAGCTGTGTCATGGGACAGTTTTCTGCCAAGAATGATCACCCTGGGGTGACCACGGACATGATAACTCTCATCTGAAGAGCCTTCATCTAACGCCTTAATGTTATTTGATAAACAAAATGCAGTAGGAACTATAAGTTCAATTAGAAAGCATTGCTATAAATATTGGTATTGATACATCTTGATAAAATATGGCTTCAGTCTTCTTTATAACAACTAATCAGATGTTACTTTTTAATTTTCCAACCTGTACTACAAGTAGAACGTCTTGGATCTGGTTGGTTGCAGTGAGCAACACCGTCACTGAGCTGCCCTCCAGATTCTATGCATGTTCAGAGTTGTTGGATAGATACTATGGGTTCCTGTACTTTAGGATAACAAATGCCTGGTGTCAGGGAGTTACCATCACTTGAGCTGGATTTACACGGTTAGAATTGTATTCCCCATAAAATAGTTTTTGGAATGTTTGTTCGATCTTCTAATAGGCAATGGAGTCAAATTGACAATGTTTTTGAACAAAATCGAGGGAGCGGGATGGAAAATGTTTGAGTGAATGTGGCTTCAGTTCAGGAAACTTAATTTGTTCTGGAATCAAATGTTAAAGCCAAACACAATTTTGAATGACATTTGTCAAGTCTTTGATGGCTTTTTTGAATGTTCTGCCAACATATTTTATATGCACATTTGTACAAAAATCTACCAGTGTATGAAACCATCAAAAATACCCTAAAATGAAAAAGGCACTCTAAGCAAACCCAACGTCCCTGGGCTGTAGAGATGAATAGGACAGCCTCTGCCAAGCACCTTTAGAAACAATGGTAGCTTGAATATTTCTATCCTATGAGCTCCAGTCTGAAAAGCTTGAATACAGATCTTTAAGAATATCTAAAGCCAAAACCTTTTCATTTTAAGATTTCTGAATAGGGTAGGAAATAGTTACAACCTGTCAGATTTTTATTCTTCCCCTTGGGAAGACCTCCTGCTTTGGTGACAACTGTAAAATGTTGCATTTCCCATCACAGCAAAATGGTCACCAGGACGAAAAGAGGAAGAATCTCCTCAGCGGGGACAAGGAAAACTACAGTGGTTGTGACCCTGACTTGCTCTGTACAATTCTTATGTATAGCTACAGCTATTGTGACCTGACCATGTTTGACCTTAAACATTTTTGGAACATGAAACATGGTCAGAAAGGTACACTTAGCCTTTAACCCAAGGCCCATGAGGCCTTAAAGTACACCTCTCCTAAGAGAAATATAGAGATTGCCTTGGTCTCTTGTTCTGAAAATGATAGTTGCCTGATTGTCACACTAATGCCTTGGCTTCAATATTTTGAGTAACTGACCGGCAACAAATACAGAGATATGGAATCCATTTTCTTCAACTATCATGTGCTTGTTTGCATAATTTCCAGTAAAATGACAGCCTCAAAAATTCTCTCATAACAGCTTTACTTTAAGCTACAAATTGGCTGCATTTTTTTTTGGTGCAGATTTGCAAATCATAAAGGACATCTAACGGGCTGCTATGGACAACACCCCATGTTCTCATCATTACAGCTTGTATTCACTATAGGGACAATGCTATTTCACATTTGCAGTCTACCTGTTCTTCTATATATCAAGTACGGTCCATCTTGCGTTAGAGTGCCGATACCCATCTTTATGACAACACATCACAAACTTGTTTTATATTCTCTGTACTCACCCATATAAGCAGCTGCACAAGTACCACGCTGCCCTTGCGGCAGGCTAGATGCAAGGATGTACGTCTGTCCCCTTCTCCACAGGTTTCATTCACCTCCTCGCGGGAGCCATGAGCAAGGAGCAGGATCACTGTCCGCAGGTCCTCCTCCGCTGTGGCTCGCAGTAACTGCTGTCCTAAGGGCAGGTCTCGGCAGGAAAGGGGAGCCAAAAACAGCTTCTGTTCATATTTCGCACGGATCCAGCGTTCCTTCTCTTCCCTGATAAAAAAAACAAAAAACAACAGAACGAAAAACAAAAATTAAATTTGGATACATTTCAGAGATGCAAATACTGATGTGACACTACACAGTTATATTACATGAAGTGTAAAGTGCATGTAAAGGCAAAACTTTATTTATTTTTTTGGTGTAGGGAATGGTTAGACCCAATTTCAGGTTTATTTGCAGTGTATGGCTTCACTGGGGTCACCCTCCTATTTGTCCAGGTCTCACTATGGTGAGATTTCCTATCATTTCCTGTTGCATTGCCAGTAAGGGAAATAAAGTACTTTGGTAAGAGCCTGCTTTGTATAAGCAAGAAGTGTTTTGCAGCAATTGAGTAAAGCCAGTGTCTGAGGGCAGTCAGATTATACCCTTT